CATCTGTACAATAGAGGGACCATGTAAGTGGTAGTCATCTGTTCGTCCATCTGTACAATAGAGGGACCACATAAGTGGTAGTCATCTGTACAATAGAGGGACCATGTAAGTGGTAGTCATCTGTTCGTCCATCTGTACGATTGAGGGACCATGTAAGTGGTAGTCATCTGTACAATAGAGGGACCATGTAAGTGGTAGTCATCTGTTCCTCCATCTGTACGATAGAGGGACCATGTAAGTGGTAGTCATCTGTTTGTCCATCTGTACGACATTTTGATTCGTCCAGTGTTTTACCCCAACACCAGAATTCCAAGTCATCAAGCTTGACATATATGGATATATCTTTAGTAGAACTTCACCAAAATGTTGAACATGTTCACTGTGACATATTTTTTTCGCTATAATGGCTTTCGGCACTGTTCATTTCTTTAGTAAAAATCATCACTTCGCTTTATTACTATCAAACATTTCTGGTTCTGCTCTGTAAGAGTTATGTCCCTTCCATTTGAATTGCAATATGTTCAGAATGTTTACAAAAAAGTTAAAAATAGACACACTAAGGGGCAAATTTATGCCTGCACATGTCTTTGGTTTGAACGATTAAAAATGTTGCTGATTTTATGCAAAGAAATAAAAACAAGAGGCCCATCAGGGCTGTTTGAACTGGAAAGGGAGTTGACTGATTTCTCGCTGACCCAAAGCTTTGAAATAACACTTCATGCTTGTATCAATTACAGGAATGTACAAAGTTTGGTACATTTAGAACCCGGAGTAAACCAAGAAAACGTTGCAAAGACATCACAGAGGCTCCGTGTTAACCATCCAATTCCAAGTGCGAGCATGTTATTCAGATGCTCAATCTAGTTGGACCAGACACATTCTACCAGAAACTTACTGGGTAGCATTCAATCTTGTTGGACCAGACACATTCTACCAGAAGCTTACCTGGTAGCATTCAATCTTGTTGGACCAGACACATTCTACCAGAAGCTTACCGGGTAGCATTCAATCTTGTTGGACCAGACAGATTCTACCAGAAGCTTACCGGGTAGCATTCAATCTAGCTTTCACTTTTCATTTAAGTTATAATGAAAAGGCGTTGTGAGTGACATTTATCAAACGAGTTAGTAATTGAAAGTAATGTTATGATATGTAAAGGCTCAAAGCATAGAAATCTTGTAATTGCCATCACCTCCGTGGCTACATCAGTTGTTTATGCTTAAGCGACCTATGACTTGTGTGATCTGCTTTGTTTTAAAAATGAGTTCCCAAATCAAGTGTTTTCGAGCACTGTAATTTTACATTTGTTTTGCCACTTCAACTATGTTTTCATTTGATTGGTAATATTATTTACACAGTTTCTTTGTTGTTTGAACCACTGATAATTGAATCCGATTTGACTGTGCCAAGCTTTGAGGTTTAGTGTGTGTTGCGTGGTGAAAGACTACAGTGTTCTGCTG